CCCCCCTTAATATTTCTTGCAGGGCCAGCTTAGTGGTCACATATTCTTTCAGTTTCTGCCAGTCCTGAAAGCTCTGCATCTCTCCATCCATTCCAAATGACAGCCTTGCCTCAAAGTATTCTTGGTTGCATGTTCTTCTCATTTAGTACCCTGAATATGTCTTGCCAGGCCTTTCTGGCTTGCCAGGTCTCTGGATAGGTCCGACGTTATTCTGATGTTCCTCCCTCAGTACATAAGGAATCTCTTCCCCCTAACTGCACTTAAGATGGTTTCCTTTGTTCTAAGATTTGCGAGTTTTACTATTACATGCTGAGACATTGGCCTGTTTTCCTTGATCTTGGGAGGGGTCCTCTCTGCCTCTAGGACTCAAATGTTTGTTTCGTTTCCGAGATTAGGGAAGTTCTCAGCTACGATTTGCTCAAATATATCTTCTAGCCCTCTGTCTCTCTCCACCCTCTCAGGGATCCCAATAATTATGATATTGGAACATTTCATGGCGTCACTTATTTCTCTAATTCTGTTTTCATGGATTTTAAGCTGTTTCTCCCAGGCCTCCTCATTTTCCTTCTTTTCTATCAGTTTTTCTTCTAGATCACTAATTCATTCTTCTGCCTCGTTTACCCTAGCTGTTAGAGTATCTAAATTAGATTGGATCTTATTGATAACATTTTTAAGTTCTCCCAGTTCAGCTTTCATTTCTGCCCTTAGAGATTCTATGTTGCCATTAATCGATTTCTCCATTCTAGCTATCATCTTCATAACTGTTACCCTGAAGTCCATTTCCAACATCTTGGTTATATCTGTATCCATTTGTAAATCTGTGGCAGAAGTTACAGTCACTGAGTCTTTCCTATTTTGGGGGTTCCTCCTCTTAGTCATTCTGTTAAGGGGTAGTTGAGGGAGTGTACAGAGTCCAAATTATTGACCACAACCCAAGCAAGATGCACCCATTCTATAGGGAGCTAGGGTTGTCGGCCTCTTGTTCTCCCAGCCTGTCTTCTGGGGGAGGGGCCTGCCAGGATGTTACTCAGGCAACCCTGTTTGGGCAGAGTTGCCCTGCCCCCTGTGGGGGGGGATGCACTCAGTAAAAACTGGTTTTTTAGGGCTTTTGTTCTCTGGCGGCTTTCCCTGGAGGCTTTCCCCATCTCTTCCAGAGTCAGAGCAGAAGAGACCATTTCCAACCCTGTGCCTCAGAGCAGAGAGATCACAGTCTGTTCTTCAGTGAGCTCTCCAGGCCACACTATCTCCATTTCTGTCTGTGCTGCTTAAAACTTCAGCGTCCTGGGTTGTGTGCCCCTCAGCAGCACTCCCAGTCCTCGCCTCCAGGTTGGGGTATGTCTCTGCCCTTTGTGCTTCTAAAACCGCCAGCCACCCCCAATTCACACCCGTGGCTCCGCCGCTCCAGGTTTCAGTCCAGGGGGCTACTCTAAAGTCCTTTCCCCACCGCTACCGGTCTGCAAGTCTGTGCCCGGCCCCCAGCGTGGGAGGCTTTCATTCACCGACGGTGTAGGATCCCCATGGCTGGGCTCCCTCCCCCTTCCATTTATCTTCCAATATCTGCCTGCAGAATCACGGCTCCCTGCTTCATACCTCAAAACCAATTGCTTGTGATATTCTGCTTGTAGAGATCCAGATCTATCTTCTTACATCTCAGGCTGATTTTGTGGGTGTTCAGAGTGGTCTGGTAGATATCCAGCTCAATTCAGGGAACAGGAATAGGGTCCCCTACTCCTCCACCATCTTTTCCCTTCTACCTCTAAAGAGTTCTAACAAAGAGATCCCATGAGTTAATCAGTGGTGGGGTAGCTCAAAATCAACAAAAGTTTGTGTGCTTGCAGTCTGCCAGGCACTGGGGACATATCATTGACTGTCTCTGTCCTTGTGGCACTCATAGACTAAAGGGTAAATGAACAAGAAATGAATAACTATTAAATCATTTTAACATAGTCACCATTTAGAAATACATAATGCATAGCTTGGAGCAAAGCAGTATGTTATCAGAAGCTGGGAGTCAGCTAGTGTGAAAACTGCCTTAGTTCTGACCCTATTTCACTGTGCAGTCTTGAGTAGTTCACTTCCCACCTCTCTGACATTCAGTTTTATCATCAGGAAAATGGGAGATTTGGCTTTGATGACCTCCAAGCTTGTTTGCAGCTCTGTGTATCTGTGGTAAGGGTTAAAAGCATCCCATTCATGTATACCCCCAGCCCCAAATGAAATCTTTTTCCTGAAAAAAGAAGATTCCCATAATCCCTTTTATAATCTCTGAGACTATCTGCTGAGTCCTAAGGATTAGATATACAACCTATTAGTTTTGCTTGGGATGCGAAACACTAAAGATGCTGGCTGTCAGCAAGTATCAAAGGCTACTTCCTTCTCGTGGAGGATCTTGCCTGGCACAGAGGTTAAGAGCATGAATTCTAGTTGGATTATTTCAAATCAAGTAAAGGAGTCTCTTTCACTTACTGTGTGATCTTGGGAAAAACACTTAATCTCCTTGGGCAGCAGTTTCCTCATCTGATACATGGGTAACCAGGAGAATAATCATACTCAACACATAATGTTGCTGTGGAGCCACAATGAGATAATGAATGTACCCAGAATGTAAGAAGTACTATGTGAATAAGAACTATCATTACTACCTTAAGAAATGAGCTCAGAGCCCCTTGAGTGATGATGGTACACTGATAACAGGCAGTAGGTGGAGCCCGGAATCTGGCTAGGGGAGTTTGCCAAGGAGCATTAATAAGGGAACACTGCTACTTTACCATGACCATGGAAAGGAAAGGAAAACTCTAGACTTGCAATCATAGGGTCTGACATCTGATTCTGGCTTTATGCTGACTCACTGAGTGACAATGGTTAAGTCAGCCCATCTTTCTGCGTTTCAATTAAGTTGGGACTGTGAGAAGTCAGTGAGATCACATAAATTACATTGCTTGGAAAAGTAGGAAGAGCTTTTCCAATGTGAACTCCTGCTAAGAAGACTGCTTTCAAAGGCAAAGATGTTAAATAGTGCATGCTCCCTTCCTAGGCTTTCTGAAAATAGTGACACCATATGGTATGGATGGCTCACCATTGCTTATCACAAGGCAGTGAGGAGAAATGCAGACTTGATACAGTTTTACTAGCACTCTTCCTTTTAATAAGTACTTTTTTCTGGATGTTGTCTTCCTAAGATGGTGTGAACCAGAGGAAGTGTAGTGTTGACTCTTGGAGAGCACTCCAAATGAAGGCTAGAACTCTGCTCCAGTCCATTTCCCTTCACCTCCCTGTGCTGTTGGAAAGCTGAACTCTCATCCCTGCAGGCATCAAGCAGCTCCCTGGGGTGTCTGAGTTTCCTCTCCTGGGCTCTCACCTGTGCCAGCAGCCCCAGGGAGAATAGAGTCTGACTTCTGGAGTCACTGCATTTGGTAATCAGAGAAGACACAGTCTGAGGACTCTTATCTCCACAGGGTTTTGTTTCTTTTTTTTGGTCTCAACTTGGGTTCTTATTTGTAAAACCTGCTAGCTCATTGGCACTCAGTCTTCAGCCTGCACAAATTAATCAAGATTCCTTCAGTCCATGCTTTTCAACCATTGACTGTCTTTCTTCTACACTTTAACCTGTAAACTATGAACACTGATAGAAATGGTTTTGTGTGGAAATTTCTTTGCATAGTGGCTTTTGTCATATCTGTTAAGAGCCAATGTTTGTTGAGCTTCTGCTTCAAACAAAGCAATAATTGGGGCTATAGAATGTACAGCTTTGTGGAACATGCAGTCTCTATCTCTGAGGCTCCTACCTTATCTCTAGAGAAATTCGACATGGATACAAGAAAATTGAATTTAAAATATAGGTCAATATGTGGTGAATTCCAAAGGGATGGTACAAATGGCAGTTTCTACAAGAATGTGAAAATTTGGAAACTCATGAGTCAGATCCAGCCCACAGATTTTTCTTTTTAAAAAAATGAGTTCTCACATCATCTCTCTTTATCTTGAAAAAATCAATAGATTTGGCAAACTGGACTAGCACCAGAGCACCTCACTAGCAGAACAGTTGCCACCTTTTAGGCAAGGTAGGACTTGCCAGGTCTCACAGCCCCTACGATCTCACAGTGTCCTCATCTGTACCTTGGCCCACTACCCTCATTCACCTTATCCACCTGACTGCTGTGGACATTATGAGTTCAAGAACATGTTGTTGTGACTCAGAAGACTGTGAACTCATTTTGGGCTGGATAAGATCTCATGGATATATGGAACTTCTCATGGCTACTGAAGTCTAGGTAGGATTTTGGTAGACAGGAGAGGGCTTTTTAAACAAGGTATGATCAGAGGCATTAAAAATGAGTATACATCCAGGAGGCAGCAAACAAACCAGCAGGCTGAGCAGAGGTTCTGCACAGAGAAGCAGTGGGAGTAAAGAGTGGGAATGCAGACTATGGTAGAATTTAGATGACAGACTGAACTGACTATGCTAACAATGAAGATCTCCTGAAGGTTTTCAAGCTCAAGAATGCCTTGAGGGAAATGATGTTTTAGAAAGATGCATGGCTAATACATATGAAGGGTTAGAAAGAAAAGAGAGGAGAGGCAGCAACATCACTTCAGAGGCTGATGCAGAAATCCAGATTTGAGGACTAGAGGTCTGTGCCTGGCTGAAAGCTTCAGCATTGAAGGGTAAATGGCAGGGAGCAACTGTGAGGGAAGGGCTGCCAGAGTCTATAACTGATGGACACGCAAGGTTGAGGGAAAGGGAGGAATCAGTTAAGAATGCATTGACCAGGCCTGTGGGAGGAGGAGATGTGCTGGAAGCATGACTTCAGGAAAGACTGTATCATCCTTTCCCCAGGTGTGCAAAGAATCTGCTGGAGGGGCTTCCTCCCCAGTCCCTTCAGGAAAGATTCTCATCCAGGCCTTTCTTTCTCAGGAAAAAGATGTGACTCCAGATAAAAATCTACTGCCCAAAGTGCAAGATGCTGCCCTGTGGCTGGAGACCTTGTCAGACACCAAACCTGCCAAATCTTCCCCCTCCACCACCTCCTCCATTGCTGACTTCTTCCTTGCCCTAACCATCTGCAACTCTGTCATGGTCTCCACAACCACAGAGCCCAGGCAGAGGGTAAGGATCACCGAGGATGGGTGGTGGGATGGATGGGAGGAGAGCTAGGGCAAGGGGTGAAGCCCTGAACAGAGAGATAAGACACTTGAGCCCTAGTCACAGCATCACCATTCTATCACTGTGAGACTTTATTTCTTATTTTGTCTGGGCCTCAGTTTCCTCATTTTTTAAATAAAATGGAAGAAGTTATATATGAGCTTTCTATGTAGCTTTCAAATTCTGTATCTGTCTGTCTGTATGGTAGATATTAAGAGTTAATATTTACTAAGCACTTGTTATGTGTCAGGCTCCATGCTAAACACATCACCTGCATTACCATTTAATCACAACCCCAAAACCCTAGGAGTTATGTCCTTGGATTTCACAAGTGAAGACACAGTGGCTCAGAGAGTTTTAGCAACTTAACAAAGGATATATGGTTAACACACAGCAGAACCATCTGTACAACTCCATAATAATATCATGTTATACTGGTCTCTACTTTTATGTGAGGGCAAAATAATAATAATAATTAACACCATGGGTGAAGTTCTGCCAATTTAGAAATAATGCAGCTGGATGGCCATTTATAGAAGTTTATACTCTGAATTGTTTTTCAGTACTAAAGATAGATTGATCTTCAATTATCTACAAACTCTCACCCAAGCTTCCTTATGAGTGACTGATGAGAATAATTGAGTGTTATAAGTGGTGGCTATGAAATCAGGAAAAAGAAGGTTCACCCAGGTACAAAACCAGAGGCTCCCATTATTATACCTTGATCCGAAACCACTCTGAACAGTCATTCCAGCCACTGAAAACTTACCAAGCTATCAAAAATTTTTAGGGAGCTTTGGGAAGTAGGAAATGTTATCTGAGAAATTAACTCTATTTTCAAGAAAGGAAGAAGTACATTTTGGGAAGGACAGCATCCAACTTCAATTTTCAAATTAATGGGGATACATTAGCTGGCAGGTAGCTCAGGAGTTCAATCTCTGGAGCCAGGCAGCCCCAGATTTGAGTGCAGCTCTATTACCTACACACTGGGGGTCATGGCCAATTTATTTAACCTCTTTGTGCCTTGGTTTCCTCATCCAGAAGTTGGGATAACATAGCATCCCCCAAAGTTGCTAGGGAGGGTAAGATAAGATGCTGAATGCAAGGATAAAGCAAATAAACCATGGTAAGGACCCAGATGATGTGAACCCTTAATATGGGTCTTGCTTTTGTCTCCTTTTTTTCCTTTGTCCATGACCAGAGCAGGATGGTAAAATTGAGCATTACCAATCCCTAGAATGTCAGGGCTGGAAAGAACTATCTAGCCTAATTCCTTCATGCTATAGGTAAGTGAGCTGAGGCTCACAGAGGAGAGAAGACTTGTCCATAATCACTGAAACCCCTTTATTACAAAATGACCTTCATATTCTTCCATAAAACAGCTTGATATTTTTTCCAACACTGAGAGTTAATGTTCCACTTCCCTCCTTTGACGACAAGGTCACCATGCCACCTTCGACCAAGGCTCTGGGGACGTCCCTGGAGAAGATTCAGCAGCTCTTCCACAGATTGAAGCTTTTGAACCTCAGCCAGTCATTCTCATCTACTGCGCCCTCTGACACTGACCTAGGGGAGAGTTTGGGGGCTAATATGCCTACCACAGACTCAGAAGAGAGAGATGATGCATCTGTGTACAGTGGAGGCTACTCCACTGACGGTGGCTATAGGAGCAGCACATGGGACCAGGGCAACATCCAGGGGTCTGGATTGGATGCTTCCTTGGAGGAGGTGGTGGAGGCCTCAGCTCTACGCCTCGCAAGCCCTGAGCTCTATTATGAGGCTGAGAGCCCTGATGAGGCAGCCCTGGTGCATGCTGCCCATGCCTACAGCTTCACACTGATGTCCCGGACACCCGAGCAGGTGACCGTGCGCTTGCCCCAGGGCACCTGCCTCACCTTCGATGTCCTCTGCACCCTGGGCTTTGACTCTGTCAGGAAAAGAATGTCCGTGGTTGTGAGGCACCCACTGACGGGTGAGATCATCATCTACACCAAGGGCGCAGACTCGGTAATCATGGACCTGCTAGAAGACCCAGCGTGTGGTGAGTCCCACCTCACCAGGGCTCTAGGAAGAGGGTTCCTTGGTTTAAGAGGCAGCACAGAACAGTAATAAGGAGCTTGAGTTATAGTGTCACCTGGTTCCGGCGGATCCTAATTTGAACAGAGGCAACAGATGCTTTCTTCAAAGCAGGTTCATGCTGCATTCTGCATCTCCTTGCCCTGGATAATTACAGTGCTCATGAGCTTATTAAAGACTTAGGACAGTCTTACACTGGAGAAACCTCTTTAACTTTATCCCAGTTTCTGGTTTTTAAACTCATTTAAACACAGATTATCCATATACAATTTTTTTTCTACTATGACACTCATTAACATACCCTAGAACATACTGTAGTCCTAACCCTTAGTTTTGGAGAGAAGCCAGCTGAACCCAGAAAGGGAAGTGACTTAAGAGACGTACATAGCTGACCAGTGGTAAGTCCTATGCCCAGGTATCATGAATCCCAGTTCAGAGATTTTTCCATGTCACCAGAATTCTGTACCAGGCTCAGTTTTCTCTGGGAAGCCTCAGGTGTCCCTCTTTATCATCCTTTTCCCCAGCCTCCCCCAAATGGATTTTCATAAACTTGAGCCAAGCCAGAAAAATGTTCCAAAGTCCCTACATATCAGTGTCCAATTTTGGAGCAGCATGAATTAGTGTGCAGCCATTTCCTAACAAGAAGAAGACAGTTATGGGGCTATGATTCTCCCAGGATAGTAGATTCCAGCCAAGCTTTAGAATTGCCCAGGCAGCCCTGTGCCTCCTGTATTATCAGCTGTGGTTTAAAGCCAAGAGGTTCATGGGGATTGATGAGTGTTTAGAATGGGAAGAGAACCAATTCGGTCTCTTCATCCCCAGACTCTGGCAGACAAGTGAGTTCGGTGTTTCTGAGTCAAGGGAACCATGGCACTCTCTCCCTGGGCAACAACCATCAAAGCTCCCCTGGAGATGTTTTGGTTTTGTTTTTTGTTTTGTTTTGTTCCTCACCTGATTCCAAAATGGATTAGAGATGCTTCCAATAAAAGATGCATACACAATATTACTATAAGAATTGAGAATCAAAGCTTTGAAAAGGAGAGAAGAAAATAACCCTAGGTGTAATATATTTACAGTGTTTGAACTTTCAATTTGACCCTGAGGTTCCTGGTAGCCTGAGCAAAAAAGCAACTCCAAGGCACACAGGTAGAAGGCAAAAGGGACTCATCTCAGGGAGGTTAATGTCTTTGAAAATAAAATATTGTAGACAGTGCTCAATGAGACAATAGTGCTCAATAAGCACAAAGAGTGCTTAATGCACCAGGGAAAAAGTAATATCTGGAAAATGAGATAACCTTTAAAAGGATTTTTATATTGCATAGAAACAGCCTTGGAATAGCATCATGGGAAAAATCAGAGATTTGTTGGACTTCCTTATATTTATTTTACTGTAAGGAATTGTATGTTTAATTTTGCATTATATGGAGGGAATAGATGAGGTGCACAAAACCTGCTTGCTACCTAGGGCCTCTAGAAGATTGCAATCCAGCCCTGGTAAAGAAGGATTTGGAAGCCTTTTCCCAACTCAGCTTTACACAGTGCCACATCTGATCAGTGATATCTGTGACATCTTAAGTAAAGGAGGTAGGGATGGCATCAATCCTGCCCCATACCCACCAACCCAGGCTGAAAAATTCTTTTTATCTGATAGATAAAAGTACTGGATTTTCAGGAGAAAAAGATAAAAGAAAACACATCAGACTTCATAAAGGGAACTTTGAGCAACAGGATGAAATACTTTTTCATGCTAGATTTATAGGAAATGCAAAAAATACTTTTTCTAGGGCCAATTTCCTATTATAGAAAGAAAGCCTAACTCAAAAAACCCAATGTGATGAAGAACTTAGCAATGAGATTCAGATCTATGGCTACCTTGAGTTGGTATAAAGACTGAAGTAGATGACAGAGGGGATCATGGACTTAGCAACAGTTGATCATCCAGGGCTAAACTAGCTACATGGAAAACACCTGAGGTAACAACAAAGATTCAGCCTTCTGTCCCCTGATTCAGCAGGGCTTCAACTGGACCTGGGAACCTCTATTATTTGTGTAAGTTCCCAGGTGATTCTGATACAAACATATTTGGGAACAATACCTAAGACAACCCACCATCCCTAAATAGGACTTTTCTCAGCCAGGCTTTTGATGATCAGATATAGAAAGCAGAGAATTTAATGATTCCTGGAGTTATCATGGGACATCATGACAACCAAGAGAGATCTGTATTTCTGTGGTGGGCTATAAGGGGATTCTTCCTCACTCTTTCCGAGTGTTATAAACAAGGATCCCCAAGCATTTATACATGACCTCATGGGAAACAATAACTATTTGACAGTAACTGACATGGATGTGGAAAAGAAGATGAGGAAAATCCGAGCCAGGACCCAGAAGCATCTAGACTTGTATGCAAGAGATGGCCTTCGAACACTGTGCATCGCTAAGAAGGTAAAAATAAATTCCTTCTTTAGTAGCTATAAGGCCTCAACCCTGAATCCATCTTCTCTATTTCTTTTTAGAAGACCCTTAATATTGGTTGTTTTAAAATTTTCAAAATCAGGGTGCCTGGGTGGCTCAGTTGGTTAAGCGACTGACTTCAGCTCAGGTCATGATCCTGGAGTCCCGGGATCGAGTCCCGCATCGGGCTCCCTGCTCGGCGGGAGTCTGCTTCTCCCTCTGACCCTCCTCCCTCTCATGCTCTCTGTCTCTCATTCTCTCTCTCTCAAATAAATAAATAAATAAAATCTTTAAAAAAAAATATTTTCAAAATTAGCCATTCTGACTCACCACAAAGACCCAGGATTGTGACAATTATGCTGCAGCAGAACTCTGAATGGCAAGGTTCCATATCAGTGTGGCTTTGTTGTTCCCTGTTTTTCATTATATATACATATAATTGGTAACCCATAACTCATAAAATAATTTTTAAAGTCATAATTTTACCTTCAAAGTAGCCTTTTTAAATTTTGCAGTATTTGCCTAGATTTGACATTTGGGAGATACTATGTGCTCACATAAAAATCTAGATTTCTGGTTTCTCTTAAAAATTGAGAGGATCTGATGAACCAGGTCTCCATTCTTGAATAGCAGCTAATAGCTCAAGCCTTGTAGTAGCTGATCACTTTGATGAAGGGTTTATTCTCCTATGTTCTGCAATTGGTTACAGCCCCTATCTTCCCCATTGCCTTGCCCTTGGCCCAGCTATAGTCATGTAATTACCCACCTCTCACCCTACAGACCTTTGACTTTGCAGACCCTGAAAGGGAGGCAGGCAAAGAGATATGAATCCCAGAGTAGGGGCATCTAATAAGGCATAAAAGAGATGAAGAGCACTGGGGATTTATAGAGAAGAAACCACTTTTAGTCATCTAGAAATGCATGTCATCGTAGCTCCCCTATCTGATTTTGCTTAGTGCAACAAAGTTTAAGAGCACCCACTTTAAATTCAGACCTACCTGGGTACAAGTCCCAATCTCACCACTTACCTGTTTTGTAACCTTGGGAAAGTTTCTTCACCTTCTGTGAGTTTGGGATTTTCTTATCTGTAAAATGGCACTAATGCTCCCTACCTCATAGAGTTATCATGGAGATTAAATAAAGAAACACATATACAGTACCTGAGACAGTGACCAGTGCTTACTATCCATAAATTGGGAGTATATCCTTACCACCTTCTATTTTCCATTGAAATTATTTGTGCCTATTTTGCCTCCTCTAATAAGATTATTAATTCCTCAAGAGCAAAGGCCTACCTGTGTCCCCTTGGTTTTCCCCATAGTGCTATGTGCAGAAGGAAAAGCAAGGAATATTTGATTGTTGGACAAAAGAATCATTTATTGCTATAAGAGACATTTATTGCTATAAGAATCATTTATTGCTATAAGGACGCCAACAGAGGGGTCTAAACGTGCTATGGACTCCAAGGGAGGAAGATATGCCCTTCAGTCAGATTATTCCAGCTATTGGATACCTCCAATAGCTGGTGGAATAGTCTACCAGGCTATACAAAATCTGACTGCTGCTTACCTTCCCAGGCTCATTGCTGCCTCTTCTCTCTCTGGCTCTCTATCCTTTAGCCAACTGGTGTATTCACGTGAACAGAAAGAAAGCTGAGTTCATTGCTGTTTCATGGCCTTTGCATCTGTCCCTCTCCATGACTGACCCCTTCCCATTATTGGATCTCAACTTGCATGTCACTTTGTCTAAGAGAACTGAAGATCCAAATGAAATAACCCCACAGCTTCCCCCCATCTAGTCACACTCCATCATGTCACCCTCTTTGTTTTCTGTAAAGAACCCCTTAAAATTATCTGTCCTTTTAAATAATTTACTTGGATTAATGTCTCTCACCCTCCACTAGCACATAAGCCCAGGCATGCAGGGATCTTGTCCATCTTGATCACTGCTATACTCCAGTGCCTAGAGCACAGCAGGGGCTCAATGGTGATAATGGAACATGAGGATCAATATTTTATTGATTCATGCATTCACAAAAAATCAATGAGGAGAAATAATTGTGTAGGGAATTGTAATTCCTACATCTAATTGTATAGGGAAGCTCAAACAAGCCAATAGGATGCCCAGCATATAAAAATGGGGTGGGATTCATCCTACATTGGGAAAGAGCCTCTTGTCCCGCAGGTCATAACCGAAGACGACTTCCGGCGATGGGCCAGTTTCCGGTGTGAGGCGGAGGCATCCCTCGACAACCGAGATGAGCTTCTAATGGAGACCGCACAGCATCTGGAGAATCAACTCACTTTACTCGGTAGCTAAAAATAAGTCATCACTAAATTTAAAAAAATCAAATAAAAAGGAATGCTACAAGCTGTAGAGGGAATTCTTGGCCCTGACTCTGACACTGCTGCAGATGTGTCTCAATTAAAAGCCTTCCCTGGAGTGCCCTTCCAGGTATTTGTCACAAATGGTGGGGATATCCAATCCAGACTCCACAAGCCACTTTCTGAGGACGCCCAGGAGCATTCCCACACTTACTGCTGGGTAAAGCCCAGGAGCTTGGTTACTTCTCCATTTATTCAAATGTTTATTGAGCACCTACTATGTGCCAAGTAGCATGCTAGCCATTGGGACAAGGGAACAAGAACCATAGGCCCTATCCTCTCAGAGCTCAATCTAGCAAGGAAATTGGATGATTAAACAAGGAATTTCAACCAAGTGTCATGAGGGCTGGGCTGGAAGACTTATCTGGTGGTATAGTAGCAAAAGTAGAAGTTGCCAACCTAGACTGGGGCCAAGGAGAGCTGGAAGGCAGGAACTGAGCAGAGCAGAGGAGCTGGTCAGACAAAGGAAAGAGTTTTCAGGCAGAGGAAGGGGCCTGAAAGAAGAGCTAGATGTGAGACAGCCCGGACAGGCTAGAAACCCCAAGGTCTGCCGTGGCTGGACCACAGAATATGGGAGAGAAAGCTTCGCGTGACCCAGGCTATGAAGGACACATAAATCATATGCTAATGGTTTAGAGAGAAGGGAGTAAAAGCAGCGACAGACTCATGCTTTACAAAAAACTGCTGCTGTATGGGAGTTTGATTGATACACTGAGGTAAAGAGGAGAAGCAGGGAGACCAGCTAAGAGATAGTCTTATGTTTCTGTGAGAGGTAAAGCATTACCCAGGGGAAAGGAGGAGGCTTTGTTTGTCAGGGTTAATCACCTCACAGCTGGGAGAAGAATCTGGAAAAGGCAACACCTGATGCATGCATGTGCTGACCACATGGCTAAAGCCTTCTTTTCATCTTGGGCAGCAATGCTGAGCTGGGAATGAGGGCCAAATCTTGGTCTTGTGCTGTGTGCTCAGGGACCCATCCCCTCACCTCCCTGAGCCCTAGCTTCTCCTCCATGTAAATCAGACTGCTCCAAGCTCTCAGACAGGCAGGGGTGCAAGGGGAAAGAGCCAAGATTGCTGTAAGAAGACAGTGATGCCTTTACATATTAAAGGTAGCAGCAAGATTTGGCAGGAAGGGTGGCAAACAGGGGGAGACCCAATCCCCACCTCCTTCAGCCTTTTCTTTTCCTGTGTTTTGACTCCAGGGCCTTTGCCTGCTGCCTCCCAAAGCCTCTCTGAAAGCTGGCCATGAGAACTTATTTTAACAGGAACCAGAAGGTAGCCAGGTCAGACAGCTCTCTCCACACACAAGGCCACAGAATGTCATCCCATTAGGGCACATGACTCCCTCCTCACCCCCCTGAGGTTGCTTTTGTTTCAGGGAGCCCTTTGGTCTCAGTAAGAGGTACTCCTCAGCTGGTTCTGCATGAAAGAGAACATGCTTGTCAGGATCCGTTGGCTTCCCTTTCTGGGAAAGACTTTCACAACCTTTCTGTTTCATTTTTTATTTCACACAAATAAATGTGTTTTTCCTCTTTTCTCCTTCACTCTGCTTCCCTGTAATATAAATCAGCTTCAGAATCTCACCTTCCAGGTTAACCCTTGGAGGGAAAGACAAGGACTGAACCATCATTTTTCATGGGGTTGTTTGAGCATTTGGACCTGCAATACAAAAGAGGCACATTTTGGGATAGAGTCATTATTTTTGTTCCCTCAAGGTGGCTTGGGGAGGAGAGGATTGGGGCTGGGAAGAGATTTCATCTTACCACCAAGAATCTGCCATGCCGCTAAAGCTGCATTGCATTCACACTAGGTCCCACACTATGAAAGGATCTTTTCAATATGCATCCAGTGTAACTGCTTTGCCAGCCTATTGTCACTAGGGATTATTGAAAGAAATGAAATGCCTTGCTCCTGCCCAGAGTAAAATGGGTAGCCATTAGTCTGTTGTCTGAAGTGAATCTCAATTTAAATGCAGATTAATTTATACTTAATCACTTAGCAACTATTGGATATTTGGGCATATATTCATCAGGGTTGGTGCAAAGCTTGAGATCGTTCAAAAATTATAGAGTCTGCATATTTAATTCCAAGAATATTATCAAAAACCTGAGTCCCTATTCTGCCATGAGCTGTTACAGAGCAAAGTCTCTTCACTTCTCTCCATTTCCTTGCTGCTAGACCCACCCAGGCTACTCCACCACACCCCTGCTCAGCCTCTAATCTCATCCTGCTTCCCCCAATCTCCAGTCCTTCTCTAGAATGATCTTCTAAAAACTCAGAACTGATCCTGTCACTCTCCTTAACTCCCCTTAATAGCTTTCTTATCTACCAAATAAATCCGAAATCCTGTAATGCCCTCACAAGGCTCTGCATGATCCAGCAGCCTTACCTCCCTTCCTGGCCCAATCTTTCACCACACTCTGCCTCCCTTTCTGTGCCTTCTTCTACTCTGACCTCTGGGCCTTCATACACGCTCATCCCTCTACCTGGAATTCTCTTCCTTTACCACTTCTTGGCCTTATCTTCCAGGTCTGAGCTCAAATGGCACTTCCTAACAAGATTGTCCCTGATTTTCTAGATGAAGTTCAGGTGTCCTAGTATATGTTCACCTGGCACCCTGGGCTTTTCTTCTCCTATAGTTCAGTTATAAATCCTTTTTCAACAAGCTTTTGAGCTGCAAGAGGGTAGAGACAGGCTCCATTTCACTGCTGTATCCTGGGTGCTTAGGACAGCCTAGAACATGGGAGATATTTAATAATCACTATCTGGCTTGATAGGGCTTTAGAGAACTTAAGCAGTTTTTCACTCTAATTATAAGCTCTTTGATCACGCTAGGAGCCACTGGGATTGAAGACCGGCTACAAGAAGGGGTTCCAGATACAATCGCTGCTCTGCGGGAGGCTGGGATCCAGCTCTGGGTCTTGACTGGAGATAAGCAGGAGACAGCAGTCAATATTGCCTATTCCTGCGGATTGTTAGATCAGACTGACACTGTTTACTCCATTAATACAGAAAGTCAGGTAAGGCCAAAGTAGGGACCAGATGTCCAAGTGCAGAAGAGCCCCTAGGCCAACAAGAGATAGGCTTATGGGTGGGATTTGGGTACACAGGGAAGCACCCCTACCCCTGAAATATCACTGAACCTTGGAGCTCAGAGGTCCCCAGAAGTCATCCACCTCATCCCCATGTATCATTGACCAGTTTGATTATATTACATTTAAGTAGTACATGTTAGAAAGTTTTGGTCTTCCAAATTTCATCCTTGGCCCAATCTCTGCATTTTACAAATGAGGAAACTAAAGACCCTTGAGACTAAGTCACTTGCCCAGGGTCACCCTGGTAGTTTCTAACAGAACTAAATCTATAACACTGTCCTCCTGCCAGGCCAGTGCATCTGCATTATTCCACATTATTTGTTCACAGAACCCCAGTTGTTAGTTTCTTATACTTTGGATTAACTCTCCCATTGAAAAAGCCCCATTTAAGTTAAAATGATTCTGAGTTTAAAATTTCAGCTCCAATTTATATGTCAAATTGGTTTCCCACAGAATAAAACCTGAAGGGAATTATTCATGAGACCAGTATGTTTTGATGGGATGAGAGAGAGAGAAAGAGAAAGGGAGAAGCAGAGTCCTAAAACTGCAGTTTTCAACCCCCAGTAGGTTGTGGGCGGCAGGGGATGGGGTTTGGAGAAAGGACTGTGTAAAGTCTGAGGAAGAGTATTCAAACTTATAATACAATTTTATATTTAGGAGAAAAAAATCTATTTTCATAATGCAAACTGAAGAAAGTGAAGTTCCAACATCTTGGCTGATGAATATGGGAAGTAGGCACTGAGATGTATGCTCCCACCAAAAGGAAACAAGCAGGAAAAGCACCGAATTGGAGGGTGGTGGGAGGAGGGCCCTGGGAGACCTAGGCGTACCATGGGGAAAAGGATGGAGAAGAGGGAAGAAGACAGGAAAGAACAGCACAGAAAAAGGAGGCAGGGAAGATGCTGGAACCTCACTCTTTCAGTTTTGCTTAAGACTGATTGGGCCCAGAATAGAAGTTTAGGAGGTTTAAATCTGGTTTTTATTCCATAAAGAATCCACATACACACTTTTTAAAAAGTAGTGTATACTATGAGTAATGCCTGAGGCCCTTTATAAGAATTGGAAAAATCACTTTCTTGTCCAGTGCACAGATTATGTTATGATTAGATTAAACCCCAGTGAATTTTCAAAATGAAAATAATCTTGGGGAAATCTTTGGCATTAATATTATGCTTAGGAAAGAAAGTAATTTGCTGCTTACTTGAGTTTTTGATCCCTGTAATAACATTGATATCTGCCTGCCCCGCTTGCAATGGAAATTCTATTTGCAATGATTATTTCACTCCAGGTGATTCCAGAAGGAGGACACGGGAAAACTTCTGAGTCAGTCAACTCAAGAGGGATAGAGTGGGCTTTTGTGGTTTCTGTTAAATGCAATGCATTTCTCTAGGAAGCTGAAGATGTTTAGCAATTAATTAGCCAACGATCCTAAGGAACAGTGGGTCACATTTCATGTTTTGTCAGTCACTTTTGACTCATTTAAAGCTGTCTGGGACCCTCTCAGATAGTATCTGAAAGTTAGGTCCTGTCCACACCCTGAGCCCACTAAACCTCTAAGATTAGTCTTTCTCACCCCCTTACCAGGGAAAAAGTGGTGGCTACATGGATATTTTAAGCCAGAAACTGGGGAAATCCATTCCAAATCTCCGATTTACTTAAACCCTAGTTTAATGTAATTATATATTCGGTGAATAATCCCTCCAAGGGTTTTAATCTGCCTAACTCATTATAAATTAATATAGGGCTACTGTTTCTTTGTTATGTACCTTAAAGCTATAAGCAGGTCTCTAGACCTCAGAGTTCACATCCATAAAATGAGAGAATTACTAACCCATCACTGAAAGGGCTGGTCTGTCAAGGAATTTAGAAGGGACTAAAGTATTAGATAGAAACTAATAACAGTAAGGATTATTATCGTTATTAGTAACATATATTGAAAACTTAATATGGTCCAGGTACCATACCTCCCTAAACTTCACCCTCCTCATATGTAAAATAGGGATTAGAAAGATTTATTTCAGAGGCTATTGGGAGGATTAAATAAGATCACAGAAAAAAATACTTAATAGCACAGTATTTGTGTTAGTTAAGAAATTACTCCAAAATTTAATGACTACAAACAACCAACATTTATTATCCCACAGTTTCTGTGGGTTAGGAGTCCAGGGGCAGCTTAGCTGGGTACCTCTGGTTCAGGGTCTTTCTGGAGGCTGCAGTTAAGCTGTCAGTCAGGGCTGTGGGCTCATCTGAAGGTTCAACCGGTGGGTTGTTTGGGCATGGAGAGAAGGCCTTCTTCCAAGCTCACAGACATGATTGCTGGAAAACTTCAATTCCTCACTACGTGGGCCTCTCCATAGAGTGGCTTTCTTACAACATGGCAGCTGTTTTCCCCCACAGCTAGCCATCCAAGAGAGAGGGAAAAGAGTGCCAAATTGGAACCCATAGTCTTTGTATAAGCTAATATGGGAAGTGACATCGCATCACCTTTGCAGAATTCTCTACATTAGAAAGGAATTTCTAGATGTGGCTCACACTCAAGGGAAATGATTACACAGGGGCATGCATCCCAAGAGGGCAGGGATCATTGAGAACCATCATAGAGGCTCCCTACCACAATACCGGGTATATACTAAAGGTTAAATGAATGGTAACTATTGTGGTTATTATATCACCCTTTGAAATAAGTAAATTCAGAGATTTTATTTTGAAACTTGTATCTCCAATGACTTCTTACAGCCATATGTTGGAGAAATTTATATAATATGTGCTGGCCCCAACTCCCAGCAAGGACTGTCTTGATCTCTTTCCCAGATAAGTGTCTCAGGCATAACCACCCACTCCTGGAACTACTTCCTGTCACCCCTCTACGTTCTGGGCATACCCTATTGCTTGCAACACTCAATTTAGCATCCCCTAAGGGAAGACTCAGGAATGATTAACTGCAGTTGTACTCACTCCAGAATAAATGATTCCAAATATTCTCAGAAGCTTCTAGATCAACAGTCCCCAAACCTATCATATCAGAACAATCTTCACAATTTTTGCCTAAAACCACATATTACCTGTTCTGTTTTTTTTATTTAATCATTTCATTGAAATTGACTGACTTTAAACACTTAAATTTATTTTTAGAATTTTTTTAGCACTACAGTAAATGAAAATCATCTTTGCCATGGGTAAAAGAACACTGCTAAATAAAGATCATGTGGACAAAATCAGAGGGAGATAAACCATAAGAGACTCTTAATCATAGGAAACTGAGGGTTGCTGGAGGGGAGGAAGGTGGAGGGATGGGGTAACTGGGTGATGGGCATTAAGGAGGGCACTTGATGTAATGAGCACTGGGTATTATATGAGACTGATGAATCACTGACCTCTACCTCTGAAAATAATATATGTTAATTAATTGAATTTAAAATTTTTTAAAGTTTATAAAAAAATAAAAATCATGTGAACAAAACAATGCTATTAAAATTGATAATACAGTTGACTGCCACAACTTTTCTCTATCTTTATTTGAAAGTAATGTTACAAAATCTAAAGAGATACTAAGGATATATTTAGAACCAAAATGTGACTTTCTCTCTGATATAATTAAAAGTAAAAGGAAAATTGATAAGAGCAAATAAGTTCTTCACTATGTTTCAAGGTAAACATCAGAAAAAATCAGTAGGAAGTTTCTTTACATCAGTAAGATGTTCACATTCATAGTCCATTTTAACCAATATGACCAACACATTCATACCAACAGATAAACATACAATGTATTTTTTCAATTAAAAGCCAGAATTTGATTAGTAATGATCTGCCTCCACTATAAGTTGGATGAGTTAGGGCAAGTTACTAATGATTTCACTGTTTCAATTTCCTCATCACTCAGTTTCCTCGGGAGAACTAAAAGGACTTGTGAGAAATAAAAAGCACTATACCATTATGACATTTTCATTATTGACCATCACATTCTATTTTTATTAGCTTATACCATCCTTCAATCAGTCCCCATCTTGCTGAGCTACTTCCACTCCCATTCCCTAGCTATCTCTATTTTGCCATTACTTTGCTTTAAATTAATATTGCTTTCATGCCTTTTTAAATACTGCAGAGAAATGAGAGAAATCAGAGAATGATTCCTGGGTAATGTCTGTGGTGGTAGAGTTTCATAACTATTTTACTAAAGGATAAAGTGAGAACTTTAACCTACATTTCCAGTGTTGCTTACTAATACCATATTTATTATTCTAACTCTATAGGAAACTTGTGAATCCATCCTCAACTGTGCACTGGAAGAAGTAAAGCAAATTCATGGACCACAGAAGCCAGACCGCAAGCTCTTTGGATTCTGTCTACCTTCTGAGACACTACCCCCCACCTCAAGAGCTGCAATTCCAGAAGTTGGATTGGTCATCGATGGGAAGACATTGAATGCCATTTTCCAGGGAAAACTGGAGATGAAATTTTTAGAGTTGACTCAGTATTGCCGGTCTGTCCTATGCTGTCGTTCCACCCCGCTCCAGAAGAGTATGATAGTCAAGCTGGTCCGAGACAAGTTGAGCGTCATGACCCTTTCCATAGGTACTCATCATGCTGAGATGTGGGTGCAGCTTGTGAGGCTGATCTGACAAGAGACCTGGACCAGAGGTGGGAGGTCATGTATCAAAGTCGAGATACCCAGGCTGAGGATCACTGTCTTAGACTGAGAGAGTTCAAAGTGACAGCAAAAACGTGGCAGCCAGGAGATGAAGCAGAGGCTAAGTAGAGTGGGAGAGTGAATCAAAGTTCTCAGGATTAGCAGGTCACTAAGAAAAATTAAGACTTGAATGGAGGTTAAAGCCAGAAGGAGCCTCAAATTCAGAACATTCACATAACTCAGTAATATACACTCAGGCCAATTCAATTCTGGGATACAGATCATTCCCCTTTTGATACTTAACACCTGGCATAATAATATAAACCTCAGGTGTTTGTGGATTTGACATTCTGCTGAGTGCTGATGGATGGTGGGGAGATTGTAGAAGTTGAGCCTATCCCATATGTTCGTTCCTACATACAAGGCCCAGCACAGAGCATACGCTCAACAAATGCTGACCTGTTGGTTGTTGAAAAAATTCCTCATAGGAGACTAAACTTTAATCGTGGTTAAGGCAGAGAAATAAAAACTGTACCTACATCAAACCCTCCAGGAACAAGCAAACCTGGTTTATAAGAATCTTCACAATCTGGTTTCCACTAACCCTAAGGCCACATCCTTCACCACAGCTACTGTCCGTTCCCCCAACATCTGGCACTCCGTGCTCTAACCAAATGGAATGGCTTACCATTCTCCATGAGGCTTTTCCTATCTCTCTCATTCCCAGGCCTTTGCACAAGCTATTCCCTCTGTAAAACACCCCTTGTTCCAATCCCACCTAACCTTCCTTCACTATGGGAGACCATGAGTTCCTTGAATATCGGCCCAACCATTTTGTCTATGCTCTGCACATACCAAGCACATAGTAAATATTGCATTCATTTAGAGATATTCCTACAGATGGTTCCAGGTTCTATCCTTCCTACACAGACATGGAAAGAGATTTTCCTTCCTGGCATTTCAAATTAAGAAGCCTATTTACACATTGTTTTTTCTCCCAGTCTTCAGGTAAAAGCAATTCAAACCAAAAAAAAAAAAAAAAAAAAGGACTGGGCAAAAAGAATGCAGGGAGCAGAGCTTTAGCAACTGCATCCTAATTTTATTCCCTGAATTGTCCTCTTCAAAACTTTAGACACACACAAGACAACAGCCCAGGACTGACTCCCTGAGGTAAGAAATTGGCTCCAGGGCCATAGAAGCAGAAACAAACCAGCAGGGTGAGCAATGGCATGACTCCACACCTCTGCTTCCACTGTTTTGTTAACAGAAGAGGTTAAAGGGTGGATTTTTTTCTCCATAGGGAAGATAAAAATAATGTACTGCTACACTATCATAAAAAAAAAAATCATTACAGGAATAATGGCTACTTACAGTGACAAAATTTTTAAGATTAATTTCATTGCCAAATAACTAAGGGAAGAAAATTCTCTCCCCCAATTCCCTATTCTCTATGTTATCTAATATATATATATTTTTTAACTTTATTTTATTATGTTAATCACCATACATCACATCATTAGTTTTTGATGTAGTGTTCCATGATTCA